ATATATACGCAATAGTTCTGGAAATTCCTCACCGAAGACTGGAATCCCGCTCTTAGTGGAGCTCATCAAAAGTGCATATCCTTTGTCATGTCAGGGTTTGAACTGTAGGTATCCCGTAAGCGTCCGCAGTGCTACCTGACTTGGAAGTCCTGACGAGCGATTCAATCGGTCGGTACGACCGGGGAACTTACTAGGTCATCGTTCGAGGAGTCAGGCTAACCAGTCACAGCGTGAGCACTTTCACACATTCTGACATGGCAATTCAGGTGCTTTGGCGTGTTAGTGATAATGCACTTGCTCCGCATGTCAGATGTTCGAAGTTGAAACCTCTTCATGGCCAAGGATATGCACTGCTAATGATATCTAATAAGAACGAAACCCGAGGCCAATGCTCTTTCATTTGGTGTGGACTCACCAGAATGATTGTGCCAGAACAGGAGGAGGACTGTTCAAACAATGGGGATGCGGACATGAAGACTACAATTACCCCAACTACTTGCAACTGGTAGACTAAAAATACACTGAACAGGGACTAGAACTGTGGCTGGATCATTTTTAGCCACTAATGGGATTCAAAAACTCCTAGGTCGTTTGTTCCTCCAACATGGCAGAACACTCATCACGTAATTGAACTCCATCTTTGCAGGAAGCGATCTGTTCCTTTGGAGACGGCGGCCATTCTAACTGTTGGGATTCTGGTGAAATCCATCGGAACTGCGATCCAGGAGCCCGTGCAGCAGATGCTAGATTCACTGTTTGCGTCGGGTCTGAGTCAACCACTGGTTGCCACGTGTAAGTTGGTGGCCGTGCACATTCCGAAGTTGAGCAAAGAGGTTGAGGTGAGCGGCTTTCTGGTTATCACTTGTTTATTATCATCTTACCTCTTGGTTACGTGCGGTCCAATAATGAGCCACAATGATCCAGATACCTTCCTTACGCTTTTCCTTTTGTATTAAAATAGTCAATATTAACATGTTTCTATCTTGTAGGTGCATACTTTGGGGGATACCACGTTCCAGTCAGATTTTTTCCAGATTTACCCACTTCTGTTCGAAGGTCTCTTTAGTTTGAATTAGGATCTTCCACTTTGTCAAACCGAAACGATGCAAAGTATGTTGCAGCGCCATTCTCGTGTGCTACAGTATTCTTTTTCTCGTTCCAAAATTCACACCAGGTCCCAAAAGGAGTGAACAGATTCGTCACGTTTTTCGTATAAGGTGCTTAAGCACCTGTACTGGCCATCTTTAAGAACCAGTTGACCCAGTTCCAAAATAGGCATCAGTCCGACCGTCCTCTAGAGCTGACGACACAGGTGATTTGTAAGCACTTCAGCCTATATTCGATCTCATATTCACCATCTTTTTCTGTCTAACATCTACCAATAAAATACTACTGTTACTATTTAGTTCTGAAGAGCACGGTCACAAACATAAAAAGTAAATGCAAACGATGTATGTGGGAGGGTTACAAGCAAATATTGAATAAAACGAGGGAATGCGTCTCATTCGAAGTCGTGCCACCAACAGTTCCAGTCAGACAAGATGAGTCCCAACGTATGTAAGCATGTCTGGTATAGAAGTACGCGTGTAAAGACCGGCAACTGAAGAAAGGATAAAAAATGCTAAATGGTCTTCAAGGCGCGATAAGCGCTAGCACAGTCAAGACTTACATCAGGCTCAAAATGTCCGTCACACTGCATCAAGTGTGAAAGTCAATGGCAAGAATGAACAGTTAGAGCCATGCACGACTCATAAAAGTAAGCAGAGAGCTCAAAAAGGCAAGCAAACATAGGTCACTGACTGTGACGTCAGGAAGCCCAATAACAGCCTTGGCGGACTGAGTAAAGCAGATCCCTCGATAAGAAAGGATAGTCGGTTAATGAACCAAAAAGTAGACATCACAATCGATTGCGCGTAGGGCACAGTTGATTGCAGGGAACATTCATCAGCACGTTACTTCTGCTTCTTCTCATCCCACACAGTCAGTCCGCGCCCATCCGGGACTACTTACGTCTATCACGGTTGCTCGGTGCTACCGACCAGCGATTAGGTCAGGCTTGATGAAAGACGTTGACCTAACTCTCTTTCGGTCCCTAGCTGTCATTCAGTAGGACGGATGAGATAGTACCAAGTTGGTCAAGTCTAAACAAGAGCAGTTGAGGTTCCGGTGTTACGGACCTTCCAGTAAGTAATTTTGCGCCCCAACCACTGAGCTGTCTCAAGCTCCATCAATAAACCGTCACACAGCTATTTTGATGTTTCAAGAAGTAACGTTTACAATATTGACCGCAAAGCCCTCTTTGTATGCACTCAAAGTATAGGGCTGCAACCATCATACATAGCGACACCAAATGATTCACTTTGTATAATACTGGGCACTAACTCCACTCGTTCGAACCAAAGTGTTAGTTGGCAGCTTGATGCATAGGTGAAACTTCAGAAACTAATTGACGTGTTCTGGTAGCCTAGTCTGGTCTGGTCTCTGACGTTGGAGGCTCCGAATTCCATTGGTAGACCTTACTTTTGGATTTCTTGACATTTGACAATTAACTGCATCAATGTATCTGGTTACTGCTGCAGCCGTAAGCACCTGAAGGCCTATTTTACACGAACTTACAGGAACGGAAACATATAAATAGCTCCATCTCATGGCAGATGCAGTTTACCGGACGTTTACTAATGTGTTGTACTATCAAAATACTACTGAGACAAACCTAAATGCCCATTCATCTGCCTGTGTTGTCCTAATGTGTCGTGTTTACTCTCACTTCAAGAATCAAATACTGAACGACATCAGTCGGGTCCTCATGCATAATAGTGGAAGTACCCTCGGTCAGCCGCACTCATCCATGGTCAACCCTGTTAGTTCAGTGAGCCTCATGCCTTTGCCCAACGTTACAACACTCCTCAACAACCTGGTGTCAAGTCACAATACCCCAGCAACAGTTAGTGGTGTTACTGCTGGGTTAGCCGCCTTAGCGACGCAGCTCAGTGGACCCGGATCCTCCTCGACGTCAGCAGTGGTACCCATTGGTGGGGCGACTTCTAGTGGCTCTGCGGGGATTACAGCTGGTTTCGGATCAGGCAGTTCAAGCGTCAGTCGAATGATGCTCTACGCAACGGGAAAACTGCGACCTAGCGCTTGTGGTATTTCGTGTACCAGTTCGTCAATCGCTGATTTAAGTCATGTTGCTTTCCCTGGGAGTTGCTCACCGGGAGGAGAAATGTCTTCCGAAGTGGCTGTTGTAGCACTTGCTCTGCGAACTATCGGAACATTTAACTTCTCAGGTAATTCCTTCCCTGCTACACGGGTTCGCTTTTTATTCCAACCTCCTCCCCTTACTGTGTGGAATTAATGTTGATAACTCTGACTGTAGAGAGTTCCTTAGCTGCCTGTTGTATTCAGCTAGACAGAATGAATTTTGAGTGAATTTCTGTGGCGAAGATTTCATTATCGTATTTCTACGTCCAGCATACAGACATCGGTTCCAGATCCAGTGTATGCAATTGTTATTGAGGAGAATGTTGGTAGCTCGGGTCGGCGGTTGAACTACGGACACAATGGACAACAAACATAGGATGCCAATAGGTATCTTAATGCTAAATATGTTCACAAAACCTCAGTAATATAAACAACACTCTACAACTTACCTTGTGGTCCTAACTCCAATCCTCTTCATCCCGTCACTCATTGTTTCAGCCTTCTTTGAACTGTTTCACTGGTTCTCATCAAGTCCATCGTCACATAAAAACATCATCATCATCATCATCATCATCATCATCATCATCATCATCATCATCATTGTCAGCTGTAATAACCGCGTACTCGTCGTGCTGTGGTTGTAGCTGCCGCAGTGGAGTAGTTAATGCTGATTTCTTGATTAACTAGTGTCGGCACCTTATCAGTTGTCACATTCCTGTGATCGAAAGCAACCTAACAGTAGGAAGATTGACTTCCGCCTCATCGTCATGCACACCGATGAAATGCACAGTCAGCGTTTGAAACTGATCGAACCCAGGTTTAATTATCAGTATCAGTGTTCTTTGCAGTTGCTTCATGGAACTAATCGATCGGCACTTACATTAAGGAGTCTATTTGATAACCGGTCTTAAAGGGAGATCATTGGTTTAGGATTAAGCGGTATTCGCCTGCAATAAACGTTTGTGGAAAATTTAACATTTTGAGCATTCGGCTGGAAAATAATCCACTCCGTACTTAACATTAAGATTCAACGGTGCGCAATCTGCACAAGATTTGTGAAATCACCTTCGGTAACAACTTTCACTAGCCCAGCCGTGTTCCGCGACATCTTTTTTAACTGAAGTGATTGGTTTTCATTCTCCCTTCGAAGCACAAGAACATCTATGACATGATCGTCTAAGGACCTAATCTGGCTATTCAACCGGATTGCTAGTCACATTATTGAGCTTTGATTAAACGATTGGGTCCACAATACTTTGAAAAGTTGGTAGCGTTGACTGAAAAACTAGACCAACCACTGTCGATCTCCCGCACTGTGGTAAATGCTTCGTTGTATTGGACGCAGCCATGGGAACACCCTTTGTGCAGATAGTTCATTGTCATACTCATTGGGTGATATCAAGCATGAACATCACAGGTAATCAGTAGAGCTAAAGTCGGCTTTGAAACACCATAGTTAACGAGAAATCAAGCGTTGTTCTAAACAGTGTTTCACTTCCAGATTACTGAAAACAGGGAGTATTTGTTGGGGAGTAGCGAGGCCAAAGGTAACAAAATTTTCGGATCTGACGTGATAGTTGGGCATTTCGTCCATCAACCCAGTGGCAAAGCTCGCAGGTTTGGAACGAAGTGGTCCATTTGGGGAGGGGGGGGGGGAAATTAGGGGAAGAGGAATACTGCACTTTTTACAGGTAACGTTGGAGATTACTGACGGAGGTGCTCCACTTTCTAGATTCGAACTTTCATTGCTGCGACTGTGTACTTCAGATGCCCTTACCGACTATAAACACACTCACGGATTACGGGCCGTTGCCAGTAAGGTTTATCGTGAACCGCCTGACCGTACTGTCTTCGTATCACTAATTGAGTCAACCTTTACAAATGGCAGTTAGCAATCAAATAGACTTGAATGACACCAGTGGAAGTACTCACGATTGTGCTTTCGGAACTGCCCTGTCGACACTTATCACAATGTTAACTTTTCCGTGTCTGTTCTTCCATTTTTCCTCAAGGCCGTCCACTAGCTCCCTTTGTTCGTCACATTTCGGATAATTTCATCTCGATCACCACCTGCGATGTAAAGGAAGTGCGACTGGAAGCAGTGAAGACATGTGCACGTTTGATGCTCCCATGGCTGAAGGTGAGCAATTGGCTTCTGTACACACTTGGACTGATGGTTACGCATATTTCTGAATGAGCAATTATTTCGTGTCCCTCAAACCTAGTACCGCACTGGACTGACATGCGTAGAAGCGATTTTTTGTTCTCTTCGAGTTTGTGTGGACCGCTGAGGTTGTTTCTTCACTTTTCACTTAGCTGTATTATGCGCAAAGCTGCAGCCTGCAAGTGATTGCCTTGTTTAAGACACTGTATGTCCAGCATGAAATCTTACATAGAGCTTTCCTAAAATCCCCTGTTTTGGACGGAGGACCATTTCGACAGCCTAGTGACCGCCACTCGTCGGGTGTTTGTGTCACCCCTCTACGTTCGTTCATTATCCATTAGTTAGATACGGGTGTCCTCATCGTCGTCATTGCAGGCCTTGGATTGTCATATCCATGTAGTCACTTGGACGATCGCCAGTGTTTGAACTGGTTGTGTGACCGAAACAGCCCATGGCACAGACAGCTTGCTGGTTTTTGCATGTTCGGTTTAGAACGGACTCAACAGTAAAACATGACGGACAAGGTGGGTCATTTTCTCGTGCGAAGGTTGAAAAGGACTCTCTCTTAAGCGCAGTCGTTTTGAAGTTGCACGCCAGTTGAAGTAAAATTCGATATTTTGTAAATCCCATGAAGGCGTAAATTCCTAGGTGGATCTTGAGGCTTGCGTTTTTCAACATGGTACAGTCAAGGATAGAAGGTATTACGTTGCCCATAGTCGGGCTTCTTTGCTTCCAGTGTACATGCCTCGAATGCTTGTGGTGTCTTCCCGAGCGGATCCTTTCGTCTTTCCGTTTTGTGCTCTTGGTGCAGGACTTCATTGTGATAAACCAATGACAGCTAAACACCAATCCAATTCACCAATGTTACTGAGAGTGTTGCTGAAAATACCGCTTCATATCTAATTGGTGTGTTCCATTGGTTGTCAGGTCGTGTTAGAGTAAATGTTGCAGTTTTTCCTCTTGATGATATTGTCCCTTTTTGGAGATAGATAAATTCTTTTTCAGTTTCCAGAACTTGAAGGGGACACAGTGCAGAGCAAGTTGGAGATGCTTTTCCCTGCTAAAGTACGAAACGTGCTGGTCTCATCCGCCTTTCGCCTCCAGGTCCTGTTCTTTCGTTTACATCGCACTGCAGAATTTTCATATGGTTCAACACGCGGATCTCGTAGACCGCTGGTGGCATCACCTGTTCGAAGCATCGTCCGGTATTCGGATGAGATGGCTCACTGGTTAAAGCGCGAATTAACCGACCGAAAGGTCCGTGGTTTGAACCCAACCTCTGCATCTCCACTTCCCCTGTTTGGGCTTGGGCGACCTGGCAGTATCTCAACCCTCGTGCTTCCTTCTGGTGGCATGGCAGCTAGGCATCGAAAAGGTGCTACAGTTAAACAATTCACTATCTCCGTTACTGTAAGGTAGCCCCAAATCAGATGCCCCTGTATGTATGTGTGTGCGTGCTTGTACTCACCATGAGTTTGTGAATTTTTGTTTTGGACTTAGTTCGGTAAACCACAGCTATCCTGTGCTGAAGGCCTGGGAGATAGTGTACGGTCGTTCTATTCTCATTGGGGACGACCATGGCGCGCTTTCCATGAATCCTAAGAGAACTACTCGGAAAACTAAACGTCGCCCAATCCCTTTCCCGGTTTTCCCCTAGGCTGTTGATCCCAATCATTGGTTTGCGCGACCTGCAATGAATACGGTCGCTGATATCCTCGGTAAACTCCTGACTGTTGGCATAAGTGACCCAGGTGAGCGTCTTCCTTTCTTGCTTGTCTTGTCCTTTTGGTGTGCCGTCTTATCTCTCGTTCGAAAAAAAACATTGAGACTTTGTTTTTGACTTTTATGAGTGTTAGCGTGCTATCAACCATTCCTTGTATTGCTAACCTCAAGTGAGTACTTCACACTTTGAGAATTGGGCATCGTTTGTCACGACAGCTACGTGACCAATGCAAGGAGCTTAAGTCTTTAAGCGGGCCTTTTCCTGTCCACCTTGTGAATCACAGCCATTATTCATCACGAATCAGCTGATATTGAACCATGAATGAATGGTTTTTGAATAAAAATTCACCATAATATCAGTTTCCGATAGATTTCGATGCAGTGACTGGCGCGTGGCGGACTGTATTGAACCATGTTCAAGCTTTATTCAGGTTGTTGAGTGGACGACGCCCGATCTAGTCAGCGAACTTATATTACCCTACAAAGACGAATTCTACGATAAGATGGGCCCATTCCACGAAGCAGTCAAATTTACCTCCATTCAAATTCAACCTCGTCGAGCTCTCTGACACTCTTTTTATTGCATAAACTAAAAGTATTTTGTAATGCTTTAAGTGCATCTTGTGGGAATCTTCGTAGGGAATCGAAGTGAAGCATCAAGGCACTTGAAAAGTTATTAACGTTAACGCGATACACATACAAACTTTTTGTACTGATGTAATACATTAAACGGTGTTGGTGTTTTATGTTCCCAGTGTGCGGCCTTCATCACTACCATAGTGTCATGCTCCGTTTTTTGAAAAAGGTCTGTCTGTTTTCCAGTCTGTTTTCCAAAAATGTATTTTCAATATGCGGATGAAGGCCAGTTTTCAACATGAAGCCTCCAAGGGGATCTTACCCGGGTCATCGAATTGGTAGTCCACTGACATATCCATTCAACCATTCTATTCATCATCCACAATGTTCCTGGTTATTAGTTTGTCATCTCTCGGTGCAACAGAACCGTTCGTCTGTTCTTATGAATAATTCGTATGATGTGAATATGCATCATCTTCTTCAACTTTGCTAGATCCCGATGTTCGTCGTTGTGTCTTCGAATCTATCGATCCCGGTTTTGACCCTCACTTAACGCAAGCGGACCATTTGTCCTCGCTTTTCTTGGCCCTTCGAGACGAGGTGTTCGAAATCCGCTGTCTAGTCATGCAACGTTTGGGGCGACTTTCGGACCTCAATCCAGCGTGCGTTCAACCCAACTTGCGCAAAGTTCTGCTTTATGTGAGTTTTTGCTGGTCACTGATCAACCATTCAGAATTAACCCCCACTTTACTGTACTGCTGCTCAAGGACTCGTGATTTCCATTGACTGTTCTCTGATCGAAACGCACTACTTCCAGAATCGCTGTGTCAGCGCGAAGTTAAGGTGTACCTTCAGACCGGTATTTGTAATGTCTACTTCAAAACCATAATCCTCCGGGAACGCTTGTTATGTGAAAAGGATGGAATGTGGAAACGTCGATAGTATGAATATGTCCTTTAATCAGGGGTTTCTATGTTCAAGCAGACGTCCTCTTGACATCTCTTTTGTTCGGCTTGAATGTATGGAAGTCGCATTGAAAATGTGTGTTTACAGTTCTGAGCAGTTGCTGGCCTTTGGAGGACATTTCTCTGGACTTGACAATGCGCTACAGTTGGTTCTCTTCCGCGTTGCATATTTCATTGATTGTTAAGCCTCGCTGCGCGCTGCAGGAATGCCAGGTTAGATCAGGTCCATCTTGTTAAGTGTTCGTTTTTCGTTTGTTGCTACACTCCCCTATAGTTCACATTGATCTTCGCTACAGAACGCGTGTCTTAAACGTTGGTTCTATAAAAAGTGATGATTTTATCTTCCATGAATAGAAGAGGTTCAAGTAGATCATAAGATTGACGGAAACTCGGGGACTGCGCCTACCTGATGAATCCCAAGAAGGGCGAAACCGGTCGTGGGCTGTCGAAGAGTTTCCAGCAACCTTGTGAATAGTTTCCTTTATGAAAAAGAAGTCCTCCTACTTAAGGTCCTTGATAGTGAGCGGATTCATGCCACTGTGGGTACCTTCACTATTCGCACGTAGGGTGTATTTCACAAAGGGTGGATGCAGACATATGTATCGCCCGATGCTCCATCATTGACATGCTAGACACAGCTCAGTAAAAGGGTCCTGTCCCCAAACTGGGTGTTCGGAAGGTTGCTGAGGACGATTGTAACGGTCAATTCGGCGGTCCCTGGAGCAAACAAAAAGAAATAAGGAGGGGGGAAAACATGAAAGACATTTGGATGCTAACAGACGGCCAAATAAAGGATTTCACTAAAAAAACCGATCAGAAAAGTGTCACGTTTCACAGCGCATTATGTATGGCGCAACGCCACGAACTGCACCACAGTCAGGCACAAAGAGATGGGTCAACCTGTGGTGTGGAGTGATTTTAGACACGTGCTGGACTGAATGGCCTGGTTCAAGTGGCTCGTGGTCAGGTAACTGGCCGCCTGAAATTCCGCCCTGACCGTCCAGACCAACTGTCCCGCCCCCCAACGGTGGTACTCGGTTTTCAGGAAAACATGCGAAACGGTCGAAACTAGACCTACGGAAGCGGTGGCTATGGCTTCCGGACGCATCCAGAAGGATGACCATATTACGAATCACCAATCGATGTTCGCAGTAGGTAGATTGAAAAAAAACAGGAACAACAGTATCCGAAAAATCCGTAAAATCAAACAAATTAAGTTTGATTCTCCCAAGAAATTAAAAGTAGCGCTGTAAACATGCTTATGTGATTAACGATTCCGATTCCGGCAACAAGTGGCAATTTGTATACCTTACCGTCTCAGAACTGTAGCATGTTTGTGAACAGTGAGGCGGCACCGTCAGTAACTGGTATTTACTGTCAAGATTATGAGCGTCGGTTAGAAATAAATCGGTCCCCAGTTATCTCTGCGAGCACTGATGTTATTTTCATAGTTCAAGTCCTCAATTATACGTGTATTCGCCTACAACTGTGTACTTGGTCTTCAGATGTTATCACACAGGTGTTTTTGAACGAACTGACTGAAGTCAGTGCTCCTGGCCATGCAGTCACTGAACACGCCACTAACAATCCAGGAAGAAGCACTGGAAGTTGTGGGGCGTTTTACGTACCTTGGATGTTGTATTAGTTCTAATTGTAGTGTGCCAGATGAGGTCAACGTACGAATCTGCAAGGCTCGGGTCGCGTTTGCTAATTTAAGACACCTATGACGTCGAAGCGGTATATCCCTGAATCTCAAGGGACGTGCTTATCACGTTACGTTATGGACTGTTTTGTTGTATGGCTGTGAGACTCGGCCTGTACGTGCAGCGGAATTGAGACTTCTTCTGGTATTTGATAATCGTTGTCACAGAACCCTAGCTCGTGCGGCCTGGTGTCGCCGAATCGCAGACAAAGCGATTAAAAGGCGAGTCTTTGGTTGTACAACAGGAATTTCAATCTGAGAATGTGTCCACCAGACCTGGTATACCAGGAGCTGTGTTCGATAAGCCATGTATTGTGAATGCCGAATCGTTGTTAACCGAAGGGCTGTTTTCTGTCCCCAATTCAGTTTGGCGGAAGCAGAGTGGTGGCGAACCCTTGACCTCGCAGAGGCATATGAAGGAGATTACGAAAGTCTGAGTGCTGTCGTTGGGCTCGCCATGTAGGGTGGGGACCTTGTGATCCTCACTGCCTTTTTTGGGACACTGCAATATATGGTTGCTAATCGGTTTTAACGGCTTTCTTGTCTTTGAATGAGTGTCTGGAGGTGTAGGCATTTCGGGATGATTGTAGTAGGCTAGCAATAAGTCCTTCCCCCACTCACTTCTTCACAATAATGTTTTTAGACAAATTATGGTTGTACAGATGCGAAGCATCAGTATTCGAGCACCGACGTTATACTGTCAGTGATGATGATGATGATGATGATGATGATGATGATGATGATGATGATGATGAATTGGTTTCAACTGTTTTTATTTTTCTCTTTTCAGACACTGAATGACTTGGCCCATAGTGGTTCGACGAAAAACAAGGAGCAGTCTGCTCTGTTACTTGCCTGCTTGATCACCTCAGCTCCACGTTTCTTTACTCCCTATGCAGACCCGGTTCTTCAAATTCTGGTGCCCCGCATAAGACAGGCCCTCCCGATTACTTTACGAGAATCAATCGAGAACGCTACGAATCAAGGTGATACAGGTAATTGATCACTTTTTAGGTACCTATCTAAGATAGTAACCATGTCCGATTTTTTAATTTTTCATACTGATCTGCCATACCTCCATCATACATGAATGAACTCGATATAGCTCACTGGTTGAAGCGCGGACTGACTGACCGGGAAATCCGTTGTTCGAACCCAACCCATCTCAACTGCTCCTATCTAGGGTTGGGCAACCTGACAGTATTTCGGCCCTCATACTTCCTTCGGGAGACATGACAGTTGAGCACCGAAAGGATGGTACAGCTGAACGAATACTGGTCGTTGGTTTGTTCGCTGAGCTGGGCAGTTTGATTGTAAACATTTCATCACCAATCAGGGTGACACCATTAGTACGTTTTTTAAGGAGTGTAGTGGAGTGTAGCCATGGGTTGGTAGTTCAACCACCGACCTGAGCTACCTGAATTTGAGACCTTTTCGTTCTTCGTCTATGGATACCATGGATGGTGGTCATGTCTGCTGACCACCACGTTATGTTACTCTGCTCGTGTGCATAAATTCCTCCCAGTTTGTTCAACGCAGCATTTTTTGCAGTTGTTCCATTTGATTTGGTATACCACATTGTTCCTTGTGGTTTTGGCTTGGTTATCCTTCGGTCTCTAGATCAGTGGCATTCGGTTTGTAGACTACGAGGATTCCTTTTTGAGCTGATAATCTGGTTGAGTTCAGATGTGTTCTTGATGTAGGGTAGAATTACCTGTCTGGTCGTTTGTTCGTACTGTGGTTGTTGCTGAGATATTTCCTTTTCCAAGCTTATCTTGATAAGAGTTGTTACATCTGCTGATTCGTCAATCTGTGGTATCTGCTGCTGACCCGCTCCAGTGCCTAGAGAAAAGACTCACAGAAGGGAACACAACAGCTGTATTCCGAACAAGCGAGTGAGAGAGAGTGTAAAAGTTACAACGACCCCACGCTATTTAAAGGGGACTTTCTGACATTGATCCAGGCTGTCTGATAGGCGTTAGTGATCACCCATCAACATCGATCGTGCCTCTGAAAAGCCTGAACCGCTGATCACTTCGGTCGTGCTTCTGTGGCAGCAAGGTCTTGCTGAATTGATTGAGTGATTGATTGGCCTGGATGCTTGCCGACTTTCCAGTCGAGTTTTTGGTGGAACAGTGGGTTCCGGGCGTTCTGAAGTTGCTTTCAGGAATCTGACCTTCCTGATAAAAGTCCTTGGATTTCCATTGTTCTGGAATACTCTGAATAGATGGTTTTTCCTTCTGTAGTTCTATGCTTCTGCAGCGTGTCTCCGCCTTCTTGAACAGGGTTTGGACGCAGCTCTTGTGGTTCATTGGATGATTACTGTCGTAGTTCAATATTTGATCCGTATGTGTCCCTTTCTGGTAAACGCAGGTTTTCATAGTCCCATCCACCTTTCTGTTCGATAAAACGTCCAAAAATGGTAGTCGATTGTTCTTCTCCAGTCCGATCGTAAACTTGCCATCTTCAAACGTGGTGTTGAGCAGTTCGTGCGCATGATGGCAAAGGTGTCGTCTGCATAGCGGATCCATAGCCGTGGGTTGATTATTGCCACTCTCCCTTATTGCTTTCCATTCCATCTGATCTTTCACGCACACTATCCGGTTGTGTTAAATTTTCATGTTTGTGTGCGATTCTCAGCTATCGGGGTTCACAAACAAACCATAACTTCGGCGGACGCATAATACTGTCATTCTTATGGGCTGTTCAAACTCGTCTAGCTCATGGACTTGAAGTTTGAGTGTTCAAATCCGAACAGTTTTCTTCCCTCGCAAAACACTCATTTTCATTTTTCACCGCAATTATTAGGTTGCACAACTGACGCATACAATGGTCGTACGAATTTGAAAACAGTACAGGACCCTGTAACCGGAGATCAGTCGGCTTTGCTCGCAGATCCGCCAGCAATCCTCCGACCAGCTGCAGGAAGCCGGGCTCCTAATGGTGCCGTAAGTTCCCCTCTCTTGGGCTTATCACTATCTTTACCCAATTTAATGACGAATGTTGTTCTGTATCTTGACCCAAAGGCGCCGTCATATAATAATGGTTATGCTCCACTACACCTTGTGTCTAGCTTATATTAGTGTATTTTTACTGGCAACTTCTGGTGCACAAATTGTTTATCGATTTTCTCTTCTCAAGGGCGATGCAACAACGAGTACCAAACGTTTGGGCAACGTCAATGTGGCACCAGGCACTGACCAAGTTCAGGATTCACCGGGCCACCCGGCCAACTTAACCAGTATTTTGACGAGAATACCTCAAACTAGTGTTCATATGGGTGTTACTATATCGCCCCTTTCGTCGGACATTTCGAATCAATGGACCGAACCGACTTCCGTGGTTATTGCCTTATTTACCACTCTCGGGCGTTTGTCGGGGGTCGCACCTGCCGCCGTTCGGGCCTACATGGACGAGTTTATTCCCATACTTTGTTGCATGATGCAAGACCAGTCCTGCTTCGCACGACGCGCGGTAAGCCAATACACTCCGTTTCGACCATACAATTTCAGCAGAATGTTGTTGGTCACCTTTCCCCTCTCTAATCATCAAAGAACGTTCGTTACGTCGCAAAATCTCTATGATTAGAACATAAAAAGCCAGACTAAGGCCCACATTCTTATCACCTTCAAGCTTAAGTCAGAGGACTAGTGCACGAGATTCGTAGGAGGAATTCCACACAATGGATTTTGGAGAAGTAAGATAAACTAACTCGGTTCAATTTGAGGCTTTTGATAGGACTGGTATGACCACTGAATCAGTGTGTGAGCCGGTTGCACATAAATATACTGACCCAGTTGAAAAAGTGCTAACTGCAAATTGAAATTTAATTAAATCGCCATAATAGATCAGTCAGTTTTGGATCATGAAACCATAATAATAATAATAATTAATAATAATAATAATGATAATGTATATTCCCAACTTGCGGGTGGCATACATCTGGCATGATCATGCGTTTACAGTCAGACTGGGGGATGCTAGGGGGATTTTCGGGTAGTGGG